GGAGAATGGAGGAGAAGGGATTGTGGCGTGACCATCCCCCCTGGGGGGTGATTTCTCGCTTTCTGTCTCTCTGTCTCTCTCTGTCTGTCTGGTGAGCGCATGTGCCCTATAGCAAAAAACCTCTGAAAAAAAAAAAAAAGGTAAAAAAGCTCAATGCTTGCTCAAAATCCTGGGAGGGGAATGGAGGAGAAAGATTGCGGTGTGGCCATCCCCCCTGGGGAGTGACTACTCGCTTTTTGTCTCTCCAGCAAGTACACATGCCCTATAGCAAACCCCTAAATATATAAATAAATAATACAATAAGCAGGAGCCAGCAGTTGCTATAGTGGTTAAGGCGCTGGACTCCTACATGGCCGATCGCAGTTTCAGTCTGAACCTGGTGGCTTGAAAATCACACTGGGCACATGTGTGTGCATGCTGAGAATCCCGAGGAGACGGAGAAGCAGGGATTGTGGCACGGCCATCCCCCTTGCGGGGATGATTTCTCACTTTCCTTTTCACTGTCTCTCTCTGTCTCGCTCTCTGGTGAGTGTGCATGCTCTATCGCAAAAATCTTTAAAAAAATATCAGCAACTAAGCAGCCTCACCATGAACATCTTCCTGCAAAGAATTTTGTTTATTACTGAAACAAAATACCCCATTTAGCTGGTAAGTAGGTATTTTTTTAAAAAAGAATTATTTTATTTAATTAATATTTTATTTATTTATTTATTTTTTCATTTGAATGGAGAGAGACAGAGAGAGGGAAAATGAGAAAGCAAGCCACCAGGTCCAGGATTCAAATGGTGGTCAAATGCTGGGAGACCCCAGCACCTTAACCACCATGCCACCTGTTGAAGGTGCTGGGGACTCCCACAGCTGACAGCAGTTCAAATGCCAAACCTGGTGGTTTGCTTTCTTACTTTCCCTCTTTCTTTTTCTTTCTTAAATATAATAAAATAAAATACATTATTTTAGGGGCCAGCAGGTAGCATGGTGATTAAGGCACTAGACTCCCTATAGCAAAACAAAAATAAAAACAAACAAACAAAAAACAACTCTCCAAAAATAAATAAATAATTATTTTTTAAAACTTATTATTATTATTATTTTCCAGTTTGATCAGCCAAAGAGAGAGAGAAAGAGAAAGTGAGAAAGCAAGCCACCTGTTGGTCCCTGTAAGTTGTTTTTTATAACGTGGACACATTTTTTATACTCAAATTCTTCCCTAGTGCTTACATGTGAAACCACCCCCCATAGAGTTAGAAAAATATCTAATTGCAAGTTAGTTTTCTCACTCACCATCCGCCTCACTTAGAGATGAGGCAGTCAGGTCACGTGAGGCCCAGAGAGGCTGAGCTACTTCCTCAAGTCAGCCCAGAGGCCACAGCGGAATGCAGATACCGGTGTTTCTGCCCCATCAGCAATCTTTGTGACAAAGTTTCTCCTGGGCTGTCCTCAAGGCTATTGCCTCATAAACCAAATCAAAACAAAACACCCCATTGGCAAACACTGAAATTCCCTCCTGTTGTCAGGGAGACTCCAGGACAGAACCTCAGCCCAGGCTGGAGCTGGGGGAGGAGGAGAAAGGCTTTCTCACGTTGCTTAAGGAGTCTTGTTGCTGAAGGAGTCGTTGTTCAGTCTGCACCCTGTTTTTGAATCAATTTGTGCCACCCTCAGACTTTTGTTTGCTTTGTGTTTTAGGTTTTTGCTGTAGGGTGTGTGCGTTGGCTGGAGACAGAGGGGAAATGAGAAATCACCCCCAGGGGAAATGGCCATGCCTCAATCCCTTCTCCTCTATTTTCTTCTTGGGATTTTGGGTACCCATGCACATGTGCTCAGCATGACTTTCTTTTCTTTTTTTAAAAAAATTATTTAATTT